AAAATTGTTTGAAACAGATTGGATATGCATAAGTTAAGAAATTTTCATTGTTTGTGGAAAATCCTCTCAAATAGATGTCTTTTCCTTTCACAGAAAACGTCTCTAACACATGCAGAGTACCATTATTAGAGAACACAATATATTAGGAATGTGATTTATGATTTGATGCCCACAGTTAGATTTTTAGTGTATTAAACTTTTAGAAATGATATTTACCTTCACTAAAATAAACCGAAAAATTGTATATTCGTTATATTCGTATAGTAACTTCCGTCACATAAACAAAACAGCACGGATTATTCTTTTGCATCACACTATGAACAAGTGCATTATTTCGATAGTTTAGTGTCTTCAGTTTCACTTGAATCGTTTGCAAATTTGTAGTATTTATTGAATTTTTCCGCGCTGCCGAAAACTGTTTTAACGTAGAATCTTATTCCGATAGGATTGCAGATGACGAACTTCTGACATCAACATGAGCGATTCTGACCAATGTACTATCTGCAACACAGTGGACACAATTGAGCACTATCTGCTGCATTGTCAGCGACATGCGCAGCCGAGACTAGACTTGGAAACTAATTTAAGATGTATAAATGTACAATTCTCCCTGTGTGAACTTTTGGGGGGAGGGAACTTTAATGATGATGTGCAAAGAAAAATCTTTCAATTTTTGACTGTTTTCATTTGAAATTCAGGGAGGCTCAGTGAACTTTAGATAGGCGCCAAAATATCTTACATATGTACAAGTGTATCTATGTATATTGTATATGTTTGTGTACGTGCATAATCTATGTCATTCTATGTATATAAATGATAAATCTATCTAACTTAACTGTTGAATCTAGTGCTCAGTTCTGAGGACGAGGAGCAATGATCATGTCATGTGCAACTTTTCTGAGCAACTGCATACAGTCATCTGTGTTCTGTATGCATGTAACTTAACCATGTCATGTGTAAATTCTCTCTTACATGCTGTCAAGCTCATCCATCACCTCTATTGACCTTGTACAAACAAGGACAAAGAGGCCAGCTTTCCTTACCAAGAAGTCCAACATAACATAAGCTCTCAGGCATGGTGCCAATCCATAGGTTATTCAAAAGAACCTGTTCTTATGTCATTTTGAACTGATCAACACTTCTTTATGGACCGATCGTATAACACACCTTCACCGCATGGTGCAATTCAAAGGTCATTATAAATGACCAACGTCATATGGAGTCTATGAACGCAGTACCCAAGAAGGAGGAACGGCCGGCCTACACACCCTCACTCAGTGGTAAACATTCGTCAACTGGTCTAACTTCCGGCTTGCATTAGGGGCGGTCCATTCTAGCTTTCTAACGCTGATTGGATTCCAGTGGCTGTGACGTTGCACATGTTCTAGTGATGATTGGATTCATGTGACTGTGATGTTGGATGCATTCAAGCCTTGATTGGATCCTTGTTACTGTGATGATGTAAGCTCTGTTTTTTTCCGATGAAGCAGCTGTGGCAGCTTGCAGAGACTTGTCAGTGATGTTGATGGACTGAAAGTTGAAGTATGCTGGCCTTTCCACATTTTTAGGTCATGCTTTCCAATTTGCTATGTTTATCAGTTAATATATTACTCCTCTGGAAATCCACACTGCAGCTCTAATGATTTTTTTGTTAATTTTTTCTAATTTTTGTTGGATTGAAAAAATTACTGTTTGCACTTCGCAAACCTGTCATTTCATAAAATTTTCCACTTCCACAATCTGCATTACTTTAACATTCCCGCCAAAATATCCTGCAGATTGTAATCATCCTAATGTAAACAAAACAATCTAAATGTTTCATTGAAGATCATACATAGGTGCAGTCACATCAGACTGCATTAACGCGTGTTCAGCTTACAGTCAAGACAAATGTTATTGTTGCCGTTTGACTGTTTTAGGGTAAAATTAGAGACTTGGGGTAACACGTGCATGGACTTTGTAAATAAATTTGCTCCTGGTAAATGGTTTTCCATGGCCAAGATATGGAATTCACAGCTCAAAAAAATGAAATGAAAAATGAAAAAAATGAAAAAATGAAATTTCACAGCTCGGCTCGAAGAAATAGCATCACGGCTGGGGGCTGGCAAACCCATAAAAGCATGGCTCCAAAAATTCAGCCGCGGCTTGCAAAGTGCCTGTTACTAACTAGTAGCTACTAAGTACTGCGGATTGTGGAAGTTCCAAATTTTATGAAATGACATGTTTGTTAACCACTATTTCTTCTATAAAAAATACACAACATTAGAGCTGCAAGATTTTATACCTACTGAAAATATATATTAGAGCTGCTATGATATTATATGATACTAGAATATTTCAGAATAAAGTGGGACTTTTCCCTACTAGATAAAGCACAGCCCACAGGTTTTGTATAATGAACCCTAATATTCTATTTAGATCATCATTGACTTTGCTAAGTTCATCAGTTGTTGTTCATTTGTTGTGCATTTTTTTCAATTTATAATATTGGGTAGAACCGTAAAATATTTTAAAATTGTGAGCATAAAGATCCTTTCTTGGATTATTTTCATAAATCATTCTATTTCTGGGCAAAAATACGTATGTCATTTTCTATTTATACTATATCAATTATTCAAAGTTCTTACTGCTATAGAAACTGGAGGAGTTTACTGCTTACTTCCATGGCAACTCCTGCTTAATTTTTAAAGTTTGGCCTTGAATTGGAAGCAGCAGTTTAGATCAATTTGACCAAGATTTTGATAAAATTACTTCTCATCAAACATTATTTGTTTCAAACTTGAAACAAATCTATCTCAACTAACTGTTACCATTTGACTGTCTAGGGAAAATTATAATTAAAATGGATGCCAGTAAATTGAAGGAATTTAGAGATGGAGCTCGTGCCATTGAAGATTACATAATAAGCTTGAACAGGTGGGAGAAAAATATTAAAGAAGAAGACAAAAAGTTGATGGAAATATGTGCACAACAGAGGAACCATGACCTCTNTCCCCCCCCCCGCTGAGCCGGACCGGGCGATGCTCTTGCAAACGCATAAGTACTCACAATAATTCCCTGCCACCATGCTCTCAGGCCCAACGGTCATCCTTGTGGCTGTCCTGTGGCTTTCAGTCCACCCAACGTGGACACCTTGAAAAGAAGAAGAAGAAGAAGAACTTCTGACATAGACAGGCTAACTAGCTACTGCAGAAGCTCTCAGGACTTCCCTCAGTCCCTGTAGTGCAAATTAAGTGCATGAGCACCATCCTGGATCTACCTGTAAACAAAACTGGAAGTCCAGCTAATAGAACCTTCAAGAATCAATAATCATTGACACTTAATGCTGAAACTTTCTGCTGAGTCCAGGTGTAACGAGTGGTCATCTTCTGGCTAGCCTACTTCTTCACATTTAAGCCGGCTGCAACAACGAAGCTCTCAGTCCCTACGAACATTAAACATATGGTCATCCTTGCGGTTGTCCACCCTGACGGCCTGACCCAGCGTGGACACTGAAAAGAAGAAGAACTGAAAGGATCCTCTAATCCATTTGATTCCGTTGTAACAAAAATTTTACTAATTTTACCAATTTCCAATTACTATTACCAATTTTACTCATTACAAATTACAATGGCCTTTTCCCAATTTCTTCAGTGACAAATGAAAAAACGTCCTATTTTTGCCTGCAAGTTTTAAAAATTACCTGTGAAATGATTGTATTTACCTGCAAGCTGCAGTTAAAACTTAAAGGAAGCTTCTGTATCATATTCAAAATTGGTTTATATATATAGAAAAGTTAGAGTTGCATGTTATAATAGTTGAAGGCTTAGAGCCATGAATTCCATATAGCAGTCATCGAGTCATGAACATGAAGAGCCATTGAATGATTTATGAGCCACAAAGCACAAACTGATTTGCTAATGCCTGTCAGCCTGTGCAGGCTGTGCATATGTTACAGTGATTGTTACCCCAAATTTACAATTTTACCAGAGAAACAACAACAAAAAAAAGATTTGCCTGTACTTTAGACTTAGAGGCAAATGAATATATGATAATGCAGTAAGGGTGTGAGTCAGAGTGTCAGACATCATGAGACATGACCGCAAGTTTACAACTAAACTATGAAATCTCCAATGTCTAACGTAACAATAATCATATTTGTTGTATTTAGGTTGACTCATTGATGCCGGTTATCATAGTGGCAAAGCAGAGAGTTTTTTAGACTCTCCCTCAAGTTCATTTTTGAGTCCTACAAGTAGACCAGTAAAGTATACTGGATAGTGGATACCAGCATTATCATACTTAAGAAATTGGTTCAAATCTTGAGTAAATGAGGAAATTAAACATGAACTGATTCTAAAAAAGCTCTGGTTTGCCACTATGCTGGTTATGCTGGACATTTTGGCAGGAGTCTGGTACTAACCATCATAGTGACAAAGCAGAGAGTTTTTTAGACTCTCCCTCAAGTTCATTTTTGAGACCTATAAGTAGACCAGTTACCAGTAAAGTATCATGGATACCAGCATTATCATACTTAACAATTTGGTTTAAATCTTGAGTTCTTGAGGAAATTAAATATGAACTNCACATACTACTACAGCTGTCTCTTATACACATCTAGATGTGTATAAGAGACAGGATTGCATGCAATCAAATCTGCATTCATTTGAGCTGGTTGGGAGTTGGATGCTAGCATATCTTCCAAATCAGTTTCAGGTATGATTTTCAGAAATAATGAAAACAATTAAGGAGTAAATTAATTATAACCATAAAAGAAAATAATTTGGTGTGCTCTGAATCAACTGGTCAAACTCTGAACAACTAATACATCAGGTGCTCTTAATCAACTCGTATATAAGCGACTTTTGCATTCGAGTATATCGGCAAGATCTAATGGAACTTTTTTCAGAATCAAGAGTACATCTTTTCCGGCTGCAACGTTGTGAGTCCTCCTCAAGATATCCTTTGCTCACCGGAGAGTGACGCGTCTCTACTGGTGACCTCGGAAACGTTCATGCGGGGCGCAAAGCTTATGCAGCCTTCCCAAGATCTCCCTTGCTCATCGGTGACTGTGAGTGATGAGTCTCTACTGGTGTCAGTAGCGACCTTGTAACTTCTACCGAGCACAACGTGTTGTACTCTTCTTTCAGTAGATTCCTCTTGCTTATCCGTGAGTGGCGCGCACAATTAACAATATTGGGATTTTCTCTGTGTTGCCTGAGGTAACGTTCATGCCGAGGCCGATTTCTGACGACCTGCAAACCTGTTTCTAGTTGCCACTTGCCTGGAAAGTTTTTTGAATGCTTTTTTTTAAGTGAACCTCCAATCTTAGATTTCCACTCTGCCGACACATCTCTAGTTTTTCCTTTATATTAAACTTTGTCTTAGTTCCACGCATTCGTTGATGGCTGAAATAGTGACGTCATACCTTTGCGCACCAAACTATTGCCAAAACACTAGGTTTGGACTGTCTGGCGGAAAATGTTGAGATCCAAAGAGAAACAGTGCATGCCACCCAGTGAGATCATCGAAAAATGTGTCAAAGTTGATAGTTGACCTTGCTCTACCAAATGGTGATAAACTGTTTGTGTAGAAAGAATATTATGGTTTGAGACTTTTAAATATGTCTGTGAATATATTAGGAATCCTTTAAGTATACCGTACTTGTATTTGCTGATTTCAAGTTGTAAATAAATTAATAGATGATTAAGTTGAGAAATGGATTTAGACACATAAAAACTAATTCCGACACAACTTGCTTGTTTCAAAAACTAATTCTGACACAACTTGCTTGCTTCCGACACATGCAGCTTGTTCCAAGCTGCGTGCAAAAATTGAAATTTTCTTAATTAAAAGCTTAATAGCTGTTAATTAAAAGCCTAATTAAGTAGTGTTCAATATTCAATAGTGTTCTAATTCAAAGCCATGTTGTATTCGAATACAGCTCACACAACGATCGGAATTCGAACACAAGGTTGTTGGAATTACGTATTAGTAGAGTTTGAAGCACGGCCCTAATTCGTCTCACAACGTGCTGAATTTAGTCACACACAGCGTCGGAATATAGGGATTTGGTAGGTTTGTATTCTAAAGGCTTTTAAATAAATATGGCAACACTTTGTGGCGTTTCATCGTTGCTGGCGCGTAGTGCAGTCACGTAAAGCAAACAGAACTCGAGTAACGCATACGGTTATTTTTTTATATTTTTTAATTTCTCGATGCATCCTTAATGTGTGGGAATATAACACGTTTACCCTAGGCTGTCAGAAATCGGCCTCAGAAATTGGCATGAACGTTATGTCAGGCAAGACAGTGAAGGTCCCAAGATTGTTAATTGTTCGCGTCACTCACAGAGAAGGAAATACTATTAACACTTGCCGTTCAAAGTATGTTCAATTTTACTGTACTTTTGCTGTATTGCCTAACATCCAGGATACCAGGTTCTTGGTCTGCCTAACATCCGGGCTACCAGGATGCCTCGGTAAACTGGTGCTCACCAAGTCACTGTAGCAGGGGAGACAATCGAGAGTCCTTGCAGGTTAGGTTTAACATAATGGTTTCAAATTAAATATTAAAAAAATGTATTGCACCTTTTCTTTACGTGAGCTGTCAAATCAAGGATAAACTCATAGGCAATTGGAGAAACTTCTTTTAAAATTGTGAGCATAAAGGTCCTTTCTTGGGTGATTTCCATAAATCATTCTATTTCTGGGCAAAAATACGTATGTCATTTTCTATTTATACTATATCAATTATTCAAAGTTCTTACTGCTATAGAAACTGGAGGAGTTTACTGCTTACTTCCATGGCAACTCCTGCTTAATTTTTAAATTTTGGCCTTGAATTGGAAACAGCAGTTTAGATCAATTTGACCAAGATTTTGATAAAATTACTTCTCTTCAAACATTACGTATTTGTTTCAAACTTGAAACAAATCTATCTCAACTAACTGTTACCATTTGACTGTCTAGGGAAAATTATAATTAAAATGGATGCCAGTAAATTGAAGGAATTTAGAGATGGAGCTCGTGCCATTGAAGATTACATAATAAGCTTGAACAGGTGGGAGAAAAATATTAAAGAAGAAGACAAAAAGTTGATGGAAATATGTGCACAACAGAGGAACCATGACCTCTCTGAGGTATGTTGAATTTATAATAATAATAAAAGTTACAATGAAATAGAGTATTTAAATGCTATTAAATTGCAAATGTTAAAGATGATATGCTCTTTCTAGGCAAAGGATTTATGTGCATAAGAATTGAGTTGCTCATTGAAGCTGATAAACTGCCAGATAGACCTAAAATGCAACTGGTTTCTTTAAACAGCATTTCAAACAATAATATACACGATGAATGAAAATTTGAAGCTTATAACTTTTTTCAATGATTCATACATGAATTCTGATTCTTAACTGATGAATAGAACTAGTGATAAGAATTATATAAACTGTATGGTCATGCAATAATTTCTGAACGAATTTAAAAAGAGAAATTATTTTATTAAGAAGCTCACAAATCAATAATCGTTTATCCCTGACAGGAATTTCCTATTCGCTCTAAAGCTCGAGAGCTGCTTATGTCAGAAGGTAAAAGAGAGGAGGTGGAAAAGAAAGATCCAATGAAATCTGTCATTGGTGGCAAGTCAAAGATCAATGCATATGATTATGCAGCTTGGGACAAGTATGATGCTGTGAGTTATCCATCATTTGGGATTTAATTTATTTCAGATTAGAGTGTCATTCATTGCTTGATCATGTGAATTAGTTACTTAATCGTAAAAACGATAGGTGTATGGTTGCAAGCTTGTTCATTACTTGTGATTACTATGCATCATGAAAAGCCTAATGCTTGGCTAATTGCAAGCTCATACAACTTGAATGATGTTTCTTTAGATGTTGTAACTAATATATTGCAGAAATATTAATTCTCAATATTTTTAACAATTTACTTCAATTTATTTCCCTTTGTTGCTAACCACTTTAAATTTCCCAGGATGCTGCAGCAGAAGAAGTGGACAAATTTACTCCTAATCAAAATATAAAGTCATTGTCCTCAGACTCTACACCTTCAAGCAACCTTAAGCAAACAAGGCAGATATCTTCAACGGAACCTCCAGCTTCTACTGATGAAGCCAAGATTAAAGCATTAAAACTTAAGGATGAGGTAAATTCCCTTTCATTCAACTAAGACAGATTAAAATTGACATGGGCATAAATGACTATTTATTTCTTGGTTGGTTAAACTGATGCAAACAAGGCAAATATATTCAACTGAACCTCCAGCTTCTGCTGATTATGCAAAATTTATTATTCCTCTGATTAACTTAGATTGATGTATATTGAAATGACTAGGTAAATAGCTATATGTACCAGTAATTGTTCTATATTATGTACCTATATCTTCCCTAGTTGATTATTTTATGAAGTGGTTCAGATCTGGGAGCTCCAAATTGCTCAATCAAATTCAAATCTGATACATTTATAGGACATTCATTGTCAACCTAAAAATAGTTTTTTATATTGTATTTTCATCTGCACTGTTGAAGATTGTGTTTCAAATACCAAATGAAGTTTAAAAACTTTTCCCAAAGCACCTAAAGTGGCAGAAACCTATAATTTATATAAACTCCTTTTTTTTCTTTACCAGGGTAATGAACTTTTTTCTGCTGGCAAATATGCTGACGCCATCAAGGTTTACTCTACCGGCCTCAGTCTGGATTCCAGTAACCACATCCTCTATGCCAATAGAGCCATGGCTTATATAAAGCTTGAGGAGTGAGTCTGGAATTTAATATATCCTTCAGATGATACACTTCTAAGGTGATCTAGAATGGAACTTGATATATTGGATCATGCTTTTTCATGCTCAGCATAAAAATTGGTGAATAAATTCTGTTGATCAAGATTAATTGTTTGTTTACTAATTCAGCATGTATTCCTATTGTTTCTTGCACTGTAGCAGTTTTCTTTTAATAGTGGCAGAGCAGCTGAGCGCGACTGCAACGTATGCATCTCATTGTGTCCAGACTACCTAAAGGCTTACCTAAGGCGTGGTGTGGCCAGACTGCTCCAAGATAAACTCCAACTAGCATTGGAAGACTACAATAAGGTGATATAATTCTCATATATTTATTACATTCTTCAATCTGAAGATTTAATATATGAATGAAAATTTGTATTTTAATCTAGAGATGATGTTTAATATTAGGAAACGAGACAAAATGGATTTGATTTCTGTGAGTAGAATAAGTCAATTTTTTCAGAGATATGAAATCTGCACCATATATGTATTGGACAATCAGCATATGTTCCAAATTAAGTCTGTGTTTTAAGTTCAGAAGTTACCTGGTTCCAGTTAATTATTTTCAACGTAACAAACTCTAATTTAGATTAGAAAAGCAAATAAAATCAAAATTAGTCAATTTCATCTTTGTGAGTACGTATTGAATAGATTATGAAAATAGACTTGTGTAATTTTTAGGTAAATACCTACCAAATAACATTAGCAATAAGAAATTAGTTTTTGTAATAATTTCTACTCAGCGTCCTAATCCGGAGAGTAATTAATATTTCTGTGCAGGTGCTGACAGTTGAGCCATTTAATAAGGACGCCAAGTTTCATGTGAGCCAAATTGAACAGAAACTGGCCTCAGTCAAGCAGACATCCAAGCCGCCAAGTTCTCATGAAAATAAGTCAAGTTTTGAAATCCTTGCTGCAAACCGATCTCAGGTGGTGCACATAGCAAGTTGCGAGTACCTTGTGTAAACTAGGGTGAAAATCATTGCTCGCCTGCTGGTCACAATTTATTTCCTTTCTGAAGTCTTTTATATTTAGCATCCCGTTTTCTTTGTTTACATTGTTGTCACGAACTTCAGTGCTGTGAGCTCTAACAGTTCTTCCATTCCTGCATGTAATCTGAAAACTACCTATACTTTATGCGTATTGATTATTTATTAAAATAATATGTGTTATACGAACGTGCGATTTTCTTTTCTAGAAGCCGCTAACAAAAGTAGACATCATTGAATTGAACAAAGAATCTCAAGTTCCGCCGTTCACTCGAGCAATGGTAAGTTCAGTTCACATGATTATCAATGATAATATTGATGGAAATTTATTGTTATAATTTATTGTCATCCCCATATTTGTCATTTATTGACGTAACTTGAATTATCTTCTATATTGACAAAGAAATAAGCTTATTGGAAAACCTGCAAATCTATTTTCCATTGTGATTTTTCGTAAAAGCGTTTAATTTTCATATCCAAGGAAATCATAATTTGTTTACATGATTCCTATTTGTAAATCATCCTTGAAGTCAAAATACTTATAATTTTCTTTACGTAATGTTTGATTTATCTGTGTGCAGATTTCTCCCTCAACTCGAGCTCAAGATACTGCTGCATTAACCAGTCATCAGAGGGTCGATCCCGCGGCTACCTCCAGCAATGAAAATATTTCCACTTCCGAAGTGATCCGTGTAGAAACTCACCCTAATTCGCCTATTGCTAATATACCAACATCTCCGACAACTGAAGCGAAAGCAGTAAATTTCAGTGAGAAACAATTTATTGAACCTGATTCATGTTCACGAATATGTAAGTCTGAGCACGACGCGCAATGCGAACCAATGACGAAGTCTTCCCAGCTAAAATGTGTGGAGTCTGAGCCATTAGCTGAATCATTCAGTAAGTTTACACAGGAATCAGCATCGCCTCAAATATTCGTTGCAACGTCGGACTCGTTACAGAAATCCGAGGAATCCAAACTTCCTCTACCATCGGTGCCTCGCACGTCGCACCAGTTCATGACTGTTTGGGCTAGACTTGTTTCTGCGTCCCCTGACTTAGCTCTTCAGTGGCTTCAGGTTAGTTGGATTGTATCAAAGTATTACCATAAGTTTTTTGTTCAAAGTTGAGTTATAATTTGGGACATCACAATGTCAATACATTTTTATGATCTAGAGTTTGAGCTCGCCAAGTTTCGATTACAATTTTAATTGAAATTTTAGTCATATGTTCATTGCCTTTCTTTTGTAGCATTACTTAGTTCGCTAGTTTTTACGCCATATCTTAATTAAAATAGTTTGTATGTCATTTCCCTAGCAGAGTATGAAGGCGTCCCTATTACGGAAGTTTGAGCTGGAGACTGAATGCATAGGCAGTTTAGTGCAGCAATTGCTGCGATTGCGCAAGGCCGTGCAAGAATCGTCTGATGCTTCGTACGTCGATACGTTCGTAATCGCCCTCACGGAGTCGAGAGGCTTCGACTTACAAGTGCTATTCTTGGAGGAAACTCGCAAAAATGGTTAGCAGTGCTTATCTACTTGCATATAATTTTCATTCAGCTTATGCGTGACTTGGCAAAGCATTAGAACATGATCCTTTTAATGTGTTTCGTTAAATTCTAATATGAAATTTTTATAAGCTAAAAGTAAGTTTCAAGTGCGTAACAGCGGAAAATTGTACGAATTTTTCGTGGATATTGGTTCAGTTTTACATATGTATGTCTAATTAAATTGCGCCCCCTTTTTGCAACACTTCTCTTTAACTTCACTTCTTGTTTGTTTGTGTGCCACAAATCTTATAATCAAAATTTAACACACTTCTACTTATCCTATCGATCTGAAATTTTGCACACTTGTGTAAAGTTGGAGACAATGCATGAATCAATTAACAAAATGAATAGTAATTTTAATAAGTAAAAAAAATTTTTTCAATATTAAAAAATTGAAAAAATAATTTTGTCAGCTACAAATCTTATAATTGATATTTGTCACACTTTTACCTGTCCAATTGATCTGAAATTTTACATACTTGTGTGAAGTCGGAGGCAATGCATGAATCAATTGACAGAATAAATAATTTCGAAAAGAATTTTATATGTTAAAAAAAATTTTAAAATTAATTTTTTAATATTTGAAAATGAAATTAGAAATTTATGGTTCATATGTAACATTAGAGACACTATTCTTTAGAAGTGTTGTCTTTAAAAAGTAATATTTAAACGTATATTATTTTGCAGACTTTCTTGAGCTTCTCGAGTTGATGGAAGCATCACAACGGAGTCTGCCTGCCAAGCTCGTGGCGCTGAAACAAGCTATCATATCGCCATAAATATGCTTCCTGTCCTGATTTGTGACGTCTGGGAAACTATGTTGTTCTCTGCTGAGTTTTTTTTTTTCGAAATGCAACAGATTTCCTTTGCTGACAACTCAAGTTTTTGGCCGTCATGTTGTAAATTAAAAACTTTATTAAAATTCTCATTCATTGCTCTCATTTTATTTCATTTTTGGAACGCTATGAGCTATATCTTCTTGAGTTTTTAAACATTGTGTATTCATTAATAATTATAATAGCAGTCATTATCTTGCACGATATAGGGGATAGATTGCCTATCGCAGTTATGCTGAACGACATGTAATACTGTAAGTGTAAGCTGTTCGCCAGATAGACGTCAAATTAATTTCTCGATTCTGTAGGTGTAGAATCACTTGAACTGATATTTTCAATTTGACTGCGTCCCATCGTAAGTGCACCACGTAGGTTTCTGCTCGTGATTTGCTGCCAGTGTAACTGAGCGTCACTTGTCTGTAACAGCGAGACGTCTAGCATGAAGCGTTATATGCGCTTCATTTTCATTACGGATCACAGAACCTTTCGATTTACCTTCAGCGTTAGGAACATTTTATATTATACCTAATTACCGATTTCCGTCCAGTGTTCAGACACACACACTAATTTGTTACGCCTTAAAATGCTGCTTCCTATCTAGTATTCCAGAGTATGCTCATTTTAAGTAATTACGCTGCGTTGACTGGTTAGCCCTGGAGTTCTCGATGGACGAATGCACATCAGGTATTCCTGCACTTACCTTGCTTAGGTATCTCCATTATAAAATTATCATTCAATTGGTACGAGTACATAGTAGATGATTCATTATGTTCGTCCACAGTAGATTTGTTGCACATCTGCGCCAAAAACGCACATTTTTGTACAACGAATTCGCTGTCACTGGAATTTGATTTCACCTGCCGCAGGGAGTGAGGTATTATCTCACTTGGGGAAGATGGACGCTCCCCCGAACCCTATTGTCCGAAAAGTATTTTTTTCCGTACACAGATCAGTTAATGCCCAAATTAATTCTCATGCTATGATTACACTTGCTCCGGTACCGTACCGTTACTCCAATTTACGTGGAAGAAATGGTAAGGTCTCTTCGACTTAATGTTTTAGAATTCTGGCAGGAAATGTGGATTAGAAATGTTCATGAAACGGGGAAGGGTCTCTTCCTCACTAAAGTGAGGGACAGAGTTGGTTTTTGGCCATGGGCAGCCAACGGGAATCGAAATGTTGAAACTGCCCTTGCCAGCTGGTTGCGCCTGGGGGCATGCGGGAGTCAATTCGCACCTTGCGCGCTTTAACTTGTTGGACAGTCCTGGTTGTTCATGCGGGACTGACGCTGAAACAATAGAACATCTGCTTATTCACTGTCCGCTTCATGGGGTTGCCCGGAACAACCTGGCTTGCTCACTTGCTGCACTCAATGTAAATCTCTCGCTCAAAAATTTGCTGGGGGGAGGCCCCTTCTCCCCAGAAACTCAGAGTGCAATTGTAGAGGCTGTTTCCACCTACCTTCTCTGTGCCAACAAACTGAAATCAATATAGCTTCCTTGAGCAATGTATTTCATGTTGTTTGCTTAGTATTGGTAGTATTAGTATTATTAAGTATACATTGTTAATGTACTAACATTCTGTGGAACTAATAATAATAATCTGTTAATACTTATTTACTCCCCTCGCACCTTTGCGAGTGTAATCTAGAATGCAACCGAAGGTGCTCTACGCAGCCCAACTTTTGTAGGCTAGGCTAGAGAGGCTAGGTAGTGCTCTGATTGAAAACAACTGTGAAGCGCCACTTGAAAGATCACTTGGGCAACTACAACTCAAAACTCTGTCATGGGGCCACATTGGACTGGTCTTCAGAGGCTCCCGCAAATCTGAAACGAAAACGAATGCTATGATTACGATCTTTCGCCTGCTGTATTCAGTATTCTCACTGACATATCTTGAAAAAAATGGCACTAGTAAATTGAGTTCTTTATTGCAGAAAATTGAATTTTGTTACTATACAGTGTAGCATATCTCACGATTCTCTACTTTCTGATTTGTCTTCTAAACCTTCCTGTTGGCTGAAAATTCTTGTTAAAAAGTCTTCCCTGCTGGCTGTTAAAATAGAGCGGAGCCAGAATGGGATCAACACAGCCACTAAAACCGCCCGTGGATCCGGAATTGGACGTGAAAGTGAAAAAAGGCGAGTAAATGCTGTCTTAATGTCTAACTATAAGTTTAATTTGTGGTAGTCAATAAACTTTAATGTCTTGTGAATCATCATTATTGTATTCGGGACTGCTCGAAATATGTAATAATGCTACTATAATTTTCCAGCTATGTTAAAATCAAGTCGAAAAACTCTCTGTCTTCGTCCTGCTGTCATGTAACCTTTTCTTGAGAAAGAGATATCATTTACTTTGCTTTTCACATTGAAATTGTTTTTAGTAGCTTTTCCTTTATGATGTTCCAGGCAAGTTTGAATTTTCTGTTTGTCAACCTACTCATGAATCATGATATCAAATTCGAAATAAGATTTATTTCGTTTTTCTATGTCCATTCGAAAAGCTCAAGTTCTTCTTGGATCATAGTTTTCAGAAATCCTTCAACATTCCTAACAGTTTTGCTATCACCTCCTGTTTCTGACGACAATTATTCATGATAAATATTTAATTCCGGCTCTAATGTCGCTTCCTGTATTAGGGGTAGAGCGTATCAGCGAAAACCTGCACATCTCAGCGAACGAGCCGTCGCTGGCGCTGTACCGCCTACAAGAACATGTGCGACGAGCAGCGCCCCCTACCGTCGCACGGCGCCACCACGTCACGCAGCTGCACTCGCAGCTACAGGGCACCTGCTATGATGTCGAGTATGCGCTCAGGTTAGTTCATGGCGCGTAGTCTGTACATACACTTCCTTTTAAAATTTAACTTAATTCTTTGCCACTTCAACTTAATTATATAACACTTCACTGTAATTTCATACCACTTCACTATAATTTTAAACCACTTCACCTTAATTTCTTACTAATTCACCCTAATTCTATACCGCTTCACCTCAACTCTATACCACTTTACCCTAATTCTATACTGCTTCACCTCAATTCTATACCACTTAACCCTAATTCTATACCGCTTCACCTCAATTCTATACCACTAAACCCTAATTCTATACAGCTTCACCTTAATTCTGTACCACTTCACCTTAATTCTATACCACTTCACTTTAATTCCATACTACTCTACCTTAATTCCATACCACTTCACCTCAATTCTATAACACTTTACCCTAATTCTATACCGCTTCACCTTAATTCTGTACCACTTCATCTTAATTCTATACCGCTTCACCTTAATTCTGTACCACTTCATCTTAATTCTATACCACTTCACTTTAATTCTATACCGCTTCACCTTAATTCTGTACCATCACATTGTTTATTTAGCTGCTATTACATTATTCGATTGCTGGTAGACTAATCTTCATTCTTTATAGGTTAACGCCTATGGAAAGAGTTTAATGAAGTTCATTGATGTTTGCATAGAAGAATACTCAATTCTATTATTTTATGAACTGTTTTGTTCTAGTATCGTGCTCATGTGATTTTCCTAGAATTTTAGACGCAATCATGATCAATAAAAGTTATCAGTAATATCGCACTATTTTGGACAAGATTCTATATTATCTTGCTCTACCTGTCCAAATTTGCAATATATCATTGTTTCAGATATGTGATCTCAATGGCTTTGTAGTCTTTTATTAATTTCTCTTTGTCTTTTTTATTAATTTTTTTCGTCTCCAGTTCCAGGTTATTTCATTTCCGTTGAATGTTGAAATATTTTTCGTCATATGGCTAATATTGTACATTTTTCAGTGCCGTGCAAGGCATGCAAGAGGCCAAGCCCATCCTGACGTCTATGCAGGAGCTGCTCAAAGAAGCCGTCTTCCATCGCCAGCTTCTAAAATACGAGCAAAAAAGACGGTCAGTATATTGTCGTGTTTTATTTTAATAGAACTCGTACCTTAGTGGGCATCAGAATGGAGGTCAGCATGCAACCTATCGTTGTAATTTAATAATACTCGTGCCTTCGTGGGCACCCGAATGGAGGGCGGTCAGTATGCAACCTATCGTTGTATTCTAATAAAACTCGTGCCTTCGTGGGCACCAGAATGGAGGGCGGTCAGTATGCAACCTATCGTTGTATTCTAATAAAACTCGTGCCTTCGTGGGCACCAGAATAGAGAACGGTCAGTATGCAACCTATCGTTGTATTCTAATAAAACTCGTGCCTTCCTGTGCACCAGTATGGAGGAGGTCAGTATGCAACCTATCGTTGTATTCTAATATAACTCGTGCCATCGTGCAACAAAGTTTCTCTCTGTTTCCAAAGTTGCCTTCGGTTGCAACTTCGTGCAACAGAATGAAGAACGGTTACTATGAACATCTGTTGTTGTATACTCGAATGTAGACTCTTGCTTTGTAAGTATCATTATCGGAGGATGATCAACACGTGCTTCTGATTTCTTATTAATCAATCTCGCCGGTGCATATGTCTCAGAATACATAACGGTCAGTATGTGCATATATCTCTTATCGTATTGTTAAAGAATTCAGTGTTGCTTCAATAGCAGAATTAAGGATAGTCAGTGTGCACGTGTCATTGTATGGCTGAGGAAAGCTTCTTGAATAGCAGAAAATTTAAGTTCATTTTTTTTTTCACACGATAGGTAGTAAACACGGCAGGGTTTCATAGAATGTTGAGGCCACTCAACAGTTAAATATCTTTGTTTGCGTTATGTATCTTGCCACGACTTCAGTAGTATCTTGCCACGATTTCAGTATGGACTTCACTTATATACTTCATACTTGAAGTATTCATCTTTTTTTGTTCTTCTTATGCAACACCCGACCTTCATAAAAAATATCATCAATGATTGGGAACTTTTTATCCTAAGAAATTTTAAATTTGGTTCCCAGCAAGTTGAATTAAAACAAGAAAAATATATATATATGTGCCGGAATTATGATGAAAATTGGAGTGGTATTTCTCCCTTAATTAATGAGGTCTTTTTCTGATCTTTTCTGCTCCGCGAGTTGAAATTGAAAATAAAGCGACGAAGATATTATTTACTTTCTAGTTGATATTTTTACACTTTCATTTTTTCTTTTGATAAGCCAATTCTTCATTACATTTGTTTAGTTTAATCTCTCATTAAAGCCTAAAAATCCCTACTTACAGAGCACAATTACATTGATCCAATTTAAACTGAATTTCACTAAAACTCGTAATCATGAGTTTGAGTACGAACTGTACGCCTAGAATCATCCAGAAATACTACCCAGTTATTAATTATATGGGTTAAATCTTAAAAATTTAAGTGTCGCTTTCAGAAGTTAATCATCAATGTTTGCATGAGTGTGAGATCTTCCATGAGAGTGCCATGCATAATTTTTCTGAAGCTTCAATCGTGTGTCTTCTCCTGGAGTATAATCCATCCGTTTGTCCAGTCACGTTGGACTATATCTGACTGCAGTTATTTTTTGTGTCTGTTAGAAATTATCCTCTTTTTATTTCAGTTGTAATTGAGTTCGAGTTTAGAGTCCACGTCCTTGCAGTTCAGTGGAAGCGTGAGTACTCAGCCTCTTATTGTGTTCTCCTGTTGCTTCTATTTTCTTATCGGTGTTTCTATTTCGTTTTTTTTATAAAATTATTGCGATCGTCTTTTCTCTGCTTTTTTTATTAAAAACTTCGACAGTATATCAAAATACCACTCAAGATTATTTTATATTTTTATTTTCTTCACAATTAAGAATTCAACGTGAGCTGATAACCGTCGCCTTTGATTTTTTCTGTAACATCGTTTCTGGCATACGTGTGTGATTTGAATCTCCTCTTTCCTCGGGGTTTCTCTTTTGATTTTATACGTTTGAGATATTATTTTTGAAGTGTGATATAACAGGTGCTTTTTCGTGCACAATTTATTAGCTTGTATGGCTTGTTTTTTGACCACAGTACGCAACAAATAAAAGTTTTCTTCATTAAAAAAATTGTTCGCTCATGTGTAGCTCGTGAGATGATCTCTAGTCTGGTGTTATTTTACTCTGTTCAGACGGAAACAAAGCCCGAGCATGTACAAGAGGCTTTCTTCGCACCTTCCTTCCCTGGAGTTGCCTGACTTTCCTGACTTGCCTGACGCTTTACGGGAAACTGCAAACCGCGTCGAAACTGCCATTCACAACGCTAGGTCTAACCATGAAACTGCTTCTCGACACTCGCTGAACGCCGCTTCAATTGCCGCTACCTCGGTCGTTAACAAACCTTCTATTCCATCCAAGCCGCCTGGACCTGCAAACGCAAAAAATAGTGACAACTCGCGCGATGGCGCTGCATGCGCTCAAAATAGTGACAATTCACGCGATGGCGCTGCATGCTCCAAAAATAGTGACGACAACTCACGCGATGGCGCCGCATGCTCCAAAAATAGTGACGACAACTCACGTGATGGCGCTGCATGCTCCAAAAATAGTGACGACAACTCACGCGATGTCGCTGCATGCTCCAAAAATAGTGATAACTCACGTGATGGCGCTGCATGCACCTGGACTCAACTGAAGAGCTCGGGGGTACAAGATATTGCAGAAAACGATCACGATCAGATGAAGGATAAGGTTGATGTTGTCGTATTGAGTTGTAATGAAAATATTAAAGATGAAACATATGATCAAAGTACGCCTTGCCATTCCTCCCGAAACAAGGCAAAGGAAGTTGAGGACTCGGTAGTAAAAGCTTCGCAGGTTACTGAAGTTATTGATCCCGACGACGAATATGATTGTCTCATGTAGGCTGTTACATTCAAGCGAATACATTCATTTCGCGAATTTCCAGTATTGGTCGTTCACTCATCGCCATATTCACATTAATAACAATAATTAAGAGCTTGAAACCTGTCCATCCATATCATGTTATTGAGACCTGCATTTCAATTTATTAATTTTAGACGGAATAGGTCAATTGACGATTCTGTTTGAAAGAAATTGTTTGATTAGCTTTTTAAATAATGTACGTGTTTCGCTACCATCCGTTAAAACCACGAATGAAGAGTCGAACTGAACATCCTTCACTTTCATGTAAACTTTAGTTCTGTTCTCTGGTGGTTGATTCTCCTATCCTCCGTTTGGAATTTTATCGCTTCCTTTGTTCGGCAAATTTTCCCAGCTACCTGCTCGTCCCTTCCTTCTTTCTCTACCATCGTCTCCACGCCTTCTGTTTTGGTCTCGGTCTGTTCCTAAATGCTAGCCCCAGTACCTTCAATTATTCGATATTCGTACATGTACATTCGCTCCTATGCATAACGCCTCAAAGCTTCTTACCTGATGTAAAATATGCTTTGAAAAGTTAACAGACAATACAGTTCTCAAAGAAACTTTGCCATCGATCACATTAGCATTGAATTAACTTTATACAGTAGTATTTTCTTCCTCTAAAATAATTTTTTTATATGTACATTGCAGGGCCTATTAACTTACTATTAAATATCACTACAGCTATCTCCGTTTTTTGTTCAATTTAAGCATTTTCTAAGTTTCTTTGTCTTCAGTCGAAACATGTAGTCAAAAAAGTTGACGACTATTACAGGTTCACGAGTACGAATACTTCCTATCATTTAGTCTCGATCTTAGGTGTGATATTTCAAACTAGTCTCTGGTGTCTGTCACGAAAAATACCACGTGTCGCACAAAAATAATATTTCGACCACTTGTTATCATAATCTGCGCACGTGTCGCACAAAAATAATATTTCGACCACTTGTTATCATAATCTGCGCCCAATGGTCGTTTTCCCGCCTTCATGATACTGAGGTAGTAAAAATCATGATTGTGTGTTGTACCAAAGCTCTTGTTCTATGTGTCTATATACCAGCAGATCGTTATTCCCACGTATGATTAAATGCTATTAATGAATGTGATTAATTTGTGCTTCTAATTTTTAATATATTTTTTATTTCACTTCACGTTTGTCAGTCATTCTTTGTAAATGTCCACGATTATGTATGCAATTAGTACATTCTTGCTCGCAGGTTGTATACGATTAGTGTCAGAAGTAGAAATTCGAACGCAGACGTTCCTGTTTTCCCGCCAATTCTCGCTGCAGTTTCCCGCCTTTTGTTGAGGCGGGGCCTCTCCCGCTTTGCCAACGCATTCCTTTCATTGCAGTATGAGTAAGTAACGTCTCTGCCACCATTATGTATAACTTGTAACATTTTTTATCGATTTAGCCAGCTAAAAATATGGACTCGGATCACTTCTCGTCGTGTACTTTAAACTTAGTTTCTGTCCATGTAGTCTTTTTTTCAGCTTTATCGTTATGTCGCCAGGGTAGAATCATGCATATTGACAATAATGATTTTTCTTTCATTATTTATTGCATCAAAACTGGAAGAAAATTCGTGAATTTCCATTAACAGTTCGGCGAAATCTGGCAAATGAGTTTAGAGCGGGGGTGAAAAGTGGGGGTGCACCCCATCGGCTTGGAATCTGACCGTTGCCGACTCTATTCGTTCTTTTGCTGTGCTCGTGTGTGGTTGTGTGCTGTTGCTCCGCAAACCCAACGTGATCAATATGGCTGACACTGCTTCCAATACACCTACCCCCGCTGCTGCTCCTGAAAAGAAGAAGGCAGCGAAGAAATCACCAAAAGCTGCCAAGCCCGCTGAGCATCCTAAGTACAGCGAAATGGTTACTGCAGCCGTGGCTGCTCTCAAGGAACGCAAAGGCTCTTCTGCTCGCGCCATCAAGAAGTACATCGCCGCCAACTATAAGGTTGAAGAGAAGTCAATTGGAACTTATGTTCGTTCTGCTTTGAAGCGTGGAGTAAGCTCCGGACAGCTAACTCAGGTCAAGGGTAGTGGAGCTAACGGCTCCTTCAAACTCGCTGAGTCTGCAAAACCCAAGAAGGAAAAGAAAGAAAAGGCAGCTAAGTCGCCAAAGAAAGCCACACCCAAGAAGGCTGCTGCCAAGAAGCCTGCCAAGTCTCCCGCCAAGAAGGCCACTAAGTCCACTGAGAAGAAGGCAGCCAAGAGTCCGGCAAAGAAGGCCCCAAAGAAGTCTCCAATGAAAGCTGCAAAGAAGACCGCCAAATCGCCTGCCAAGAAACCCGTTGTAAAGAAGGCAAAGAAACCCGCTCCCGCTGTCAAGAAAACTGCTGCAAAAAAGTAAAGTACTTCATCAGTCAATAAAACTTATTATTTTTTGAAAATGTGTCCCTTATTGATTTTCCCATACTACTTGATTACTTGTCTACACTGACAAGTGACATTTATGATATTGCTTGGCAAGTTGGCATAATCTCCATTCTTTTGCGAGTTTTGCCCTCACTTTCATTTTTATGGGCCTTATGTTGAAATAGGTCAAAATTCTTTCACTTTCATTGTAGAATTCATTTTGAGTGCGAAGCTATGTTTCGAAAAATGTTTTATTCAACTGTGGCGTTCATATAGGCTAGCGTTAATTTCCTGGCAATTCGTTCATATAACTCTAATTTCCAGTCGTGTTAAGAATTTTCTTTTTTGCCATTGAGATACGATATGTAGATGAGAAAATTAAAATCCGCTGAATAGCATGCTGACTTGGAAAAGCAAGCCGCGAGCAACACGTGCTTCTGAGCTTGCCGCCTTTAGGTCCACGCGCGTTAGAACTAATGCAACGATTTTCGTTCAGTACACTATCATCATCGGCTTGCCGATAGAGTCGAGCTTTGAAACAAGATTTTATAAAATTTCATTAGAATGTTCCAGCAGCAAATATGTAAACACTTTAGTTTATTATCGTCAAAGCAGACGATTCATTTAACAGCATAATGTATACCTATTTTTAATTGTGGCGAATCAATAAGTTCGTTGAAAGCAACTTGGAACCCTAGCGACATCACGATGCAAATAGACTGCTATTAACGCGGGAAAATCTCAGGAAAAAGGATTATCATACAACATTCTGCCTTTGAACACAACCATTCAAATGAAACTAAAGTTGCTGTAAATTATCACAAATACCCTGCAACGGCTTTGCAGTCAAAAATGAAATAGGGAAAGTGAGAATGCGAGGTTTCTCTCCAAATAAATACTTTTTACTTCACTCACACGTTCAACAAAGAAAATTTTACGGTCATGTCAATTATTACAAAAATAACCTACAATGTAGACCCCAAGTGAATTCTCAACAAAAATTAACTTTATCGTTACATAATGAACTTCAGCTGACAATGAATCTTTGATAACAATGTGTTAATGTAAAAATTCGACAAACTTTGAAAACAATACCCTGCTCGCTACACATTAGCTCAACAACGATTCACCAGCGTAAATCTTTGCTTCCAACTCAATAGACGCTGAAGTGAAGAAGGCAGAATCCCGTAGCTACCTAAAAAATGTCATGAAGTAAGTATTCAAATATTAATTACTCGTAAAGAAGCTGTACACGGCGTCTTGTCACGCGGTTACGTCTAACTTAATGAAAGCCATTGAAGGTGGCCACTAAGCAGGAATTTTCTGGCGAGTTGGAATACGTTATTGGTTACGAAATTTTAGCAGCGAGCGTGGAAAAAGTAATTAATGAGAAAAATATAAGATAATAAAAAAGTTGTATCGAACTGACAATGAACACATGCTAATTCTAAAGTTAATATTGGACAATACCCGAATTATTTGTGAGGCTTCGGTAAGAAATGCTAAAAGCTACACGAGACGAAGAAATAGTTTATGACACGATATCACATGATATAGATATACATGAAGAATTTGTCACATGGATAAAGCTGGGTTAGATGTTCCGCTATAAGTTTTTGCAGCAAGATTGATTGATTGTTGAAAATTGCGAACCATCTATGAAAAATAGTATTGAGAAATCTATTCAAATGATAGAAAAGCTGTCAAGTTGAATTAATCTAGGTATATTCTCAATACTGTAGATAGTTTTCTTCATCCTGTAAACGGCAATATAATGAAAAATAAAATATTTGCTCCGAGTTTGAAAAATATTCCTCATTGTGTAGAAACTTTTAGTCGTTATAACAGCGATAATAGACAATCGAGCACATGCGGTTATGTTAATCGGAAATGAACATCGGTGCGACCACTGCAATAATCGAGAAAAATTGCATTCAACAAAATTAGGTTGATCCACAAAAAAAAATCCTGCGCCAAGTATTTAACAAATACTCGCCGGTAAAGTTTCCTTTGCTTCTGACATTTCAATATGATAATTTCAAGCCTTTCCTACTCTCAAAGGGGTAGGTGATGGTGGTCTCAAGGTGATCTCAACTTTCGTAGGTGATATGTTGAAAATCTTAGCACATTCCTAAACTTCCAGTGATTATAAGGCCACTCAATAGCATCAATTATCACACATGTTCTACATAGGTAATATAGAAGCACTTCCATAATCTACGATATCGTGTAGTAATTGCTCTCTTGACTGAAATCCCAAACCTAATTTATCACATACATATCCGTTCATTACATAATTTAAAAATTTAAATTACTTAATTGAATAATTAATTAATAATATTGAACTTCAGGACGAAGAATAGCAACAAGAGAGGCCGGAAATAGAACAATATCTAGTCAGAAAATATGCTGAATACGCAGTCAATTCAATGTCGGACACAAACGACGGACACCCTAACAGAAAACATGCTGTTAACACCAGGCAAAATTTCATATATAAATATGTGAAAGGCAGCATAACAGGTGTTCAGGTAAAAGGTTTTGGAAACGGAGAGTAATTGGCCTATCATAAAATCTTAGTAAACAGGTACTTTTATTATATAAACACTTAATAAATAAAAAACATCATTTGTCAATTACACTGTCACGATTAAACGAAATAACAAGAGAAACAAATTGTAATTTTTACAAAATTCACGCCTGGATTGCGTCAGTCTATTTCCCTGCGAGGTTGCTAATACGTCACTAGATGCATTATTTTCGTCAATGAAATACGGATGTGTTAACTCTAGCACGGCCATTAAAGCAGGAAGTGTAGGACTCAACACTGCAAACGCTAAAGTACAAAAAGATAGTTGTAAACACAACGTATAAAGTTTATAAGCTGGTCATGAACTGTACAACAGAAAACGTAGTCAGCATGGGAGAACTCTATAAATTACCATTTAAGCTATCATTGGAATACTCTGGACTAGCACCGACACTGCCTCATCACTTCCCAACAGCAGCAGATCAGGAACCTGATGCTACCTTACAAGCTGCAGCGCACAGAAAACGACACACAAAAAAATATATGCTATTAAGCTCTTGTATTATCATTTTAGACACTAACACAGTGTCTTATATGATTCTAATACCAGGCATAAAGTTAGATAACTCTTGGATCTTCCTACATGCCAATTTCAACGAATCGTGCGCAATATATAAAATTTAGGACACTTTAAACTTTTCTAAGCATCGTCAAGTTGAGAACTTCAGGAAGTTCGATGTCCTCGAGACGAATACTGGACGGATTGAAGGGGAAGCGTACGGGGAACATGAACTTCGTGTTCATGATGAGCGTCGCCTGAAACAGAACAGGCGTGAAGCTAGCAATTACTTGATTCCTATATATAAGTACACAGAACTTTAATAAATCAAACGTCAGCTACATGTACATGTTCACAACTAGTAAGTATTTATTATCCTCGCGTGTTGAACTTAACTTTTCAGGAAAACGGGTTGATTGTGCAAATAAACGGATTCCAGTTTCGATTCGAATTTAATAGTATCGAAACTATCAACAATACGTCTGATAAAAATAAACAATATATGTAAAATTACATTAAACAATATACCTGATCACATTTTAAACTATCAAATACTAAAATTGAAGGCTCCTGTGCAACAGGATGACTAATAAGTGGTTTAAAAGCAAAGAAAATTCCACGGAAATTTGACATGTCTTCATTGAAAACGTCTTCTACAAAACTTGATAAATTATCGTAGCATTTTTTTTTAGCTTTCAAATTTCTAGTGAATTAGCGATTCAAGCAAATGAGTGACATCAATACAGAAAAACTAATGAAATGTATTACCTGTTCCTGATCAGCAGCAGGCCGCTTCAGCAGTCGCTGTTGTATCTTCTGAATGAATGAGGCCGGTATACGCTCTTCGAACTCATCCGGTGTATAGAGGTTCAAGATTTTCACGATCTACACAAACAGAGACATTGTTTCAGCTGTTAAAATTTGTTTCTGGTTTAATTGCGAAGTAGAGAACAGGCCTGACCGAGCTCGGGCAGCTGCATGTCTCTGGTCCACTGCTCCAGATGGCTGAGGTTGTAGCGGATCTGCACGCCCTTAGACCAGTGGCACATGTCCTTCCGCAGCAGTAGATTGTTCAGTGAACCAGCGCAGATAAAGTAAAATATCTGCAAATGTAAGAAACATGTAGTATAACGTACAAAAAGAGTAAAATATAACTATGAATTCAGAAAATTTACCAAATGTGTTGAAAAATAAAGAAAAAGACGGAATAAAAACCTCATCATAAGTAAATTAGTGAGCCTAGGAGTTCTCACCTAGGTACATTTTGAATCAAGGCATGTGGCAGAAAATATTTTTACGTAATAACTACACATGAAAGTATGAGGGATACTAACCTGCCTGAAGACCTGCAGGATCAGTTCAGGATCAGTGCCAAATGTGGCCAGCGTTCTGTAGAAGAGCGTCAGCTGACTCAGTAGCAGATCCAGTGCCTTCTGCGGCTCCTGGGAGGACTCTTCAACGCCACCGTTCTTGGCACCTCCTCAAGATAAAAAGATCATCGCTCGGCTTTAGAAATTGACTTGTACCATAAAGTTTACAATTAATACTAATAATATATTTAAATTACTATCCTATTCTTAACTATACCGTATTCTAGGATAAAATATTTCAATATAGCGCCATCATTCAAGGCATTTATGCATTTGACGTTTTGCACGCACGACGTTCATCTATGGTTACCAGTCCAACGGAAAACACCATTCACCAAAACACAATTTTGTTACAGACTAATAAAGCGGACTAAGTACAATAAATTTTTCCTTAAATTATGGGTTATAAAAAAGAAATTAGTAACAAATAGTACCAAAAAGAACTATATATAAAATACAAAGTTGCTATAAAGGCCGCAGCCAAGCATGCACTTAATTCCATGATCGAATAGTGGCAGTTATCAGACACTACTGTATTACTACTTTAGGTAACAGTCACGTTAGAAATGTGAGACACTGAGACACGCATCACCTTACAGTCAAGGCTCATAATTACCTTTAGCAGGGCCAGGTTTGCCTACACATATGCCAGACATGACCTCGTTTTCCAGGATACTGGGCACCACCAACGGCTGGATGCTCTCCTCCATGAGCTTGATGACGCCGTTATAAATCCACACCGCCAAGTCAGAGAGTGTCTGCAACAAAAGCCATGATAAGCAAGACGAATGAAGTTCGTGAGACACGTGCGACAATGTGATACTTCTAATTTTATGAATTCCTGAGAAAACTAGCTATGTAAGTTTCCAACACTATGAATTTTTTGCACCAAATGAGAATCGCATGAAATTTTGATATGATTATATTTTTATTTATGCATTTTTATTATATTAAAAAACAATAAATTCGTACGTTAAACATATTTGAAATAGCTACAATAGCAGACTAATTATTGATCTTTCTGTACGCTAGAGATCTTTTTACAAACGCTGCAGTTACTTAGCCATTGTTACCCGATACGAAAAATAATGATTTGCCTTTCTGCCCTCGGGAAGTTCGATGTTCATAATATCAAGATTAATGATTCAACTGTCAGTGCTCGGAAAGTTCGATGTTTTTAATAGGTAGAATAATGAGTTACCAGTCAGTACTAGGAAAGGTCGATGTTTTTCAATGGTAGAATAATGAGTTACCTTTCTGAAATCGAAAAGGCAAAGGTTACCTTTTTAATAAGTAGAATAATGAGTTACCTGTCCGTACTTGGAGAGTTAGTTTTTTATAGGTAAAAGAAAGAGTTACCTGTCTGTACTCGGAAAGGTCGAAGTTTTTAAGTGACTGTTCGTTCTGCTTGGGCGTATTCTCCTGCTGGAACGCCTGGTCGCCGGAGTACTGCTTGAGGTTGTGCAGCAGGCGGAGCGTGTTGCTCAGCCACAGCACCGTCGAGTCAAGGTCCTGGCACCTCTTCTTGATGACGCGCTTGATGCCGAGCCTCGTGTGGTTTAGCAGTGACTTCACCTGTCGTCATCATTAGCAGCATCAAGAGATACGTCAGTGAACTTATTAATAATAACATCAATAACATATTTCTAAATTTATTCATCAGGTATCAAGGACAAAATAAACAGTGACTTCAACTGCAGTCATAATTAGCAACATCAATAATTTCTCTAAGTTGTCAATAATTTCTCTAAGTACGCTGTATAAATAATGAAATTAAAGCGTGGTTACTTGAAGCGTCTGGCCCGAGAATAAGCGGTAGCAGTAATCAAATTGAAGCAAAGTTACTTGGAGCGACTGGCCCGAGATTACGCTGTTGAACAAATAAAATGAAAGCAAGCTAATAGGAAGCGACTTTCGGATATTTTCGAAGGAGTCTACCTTCTCGTCGTCGTCGATGTGGTCGGTGTGGCGGATGCACATGAAGAGGATGTACGCAGGTAGTCCAGGCAGCAGCGTCACGGCCACTCGCGGCTTCAGGTCTGCCAAAAGCTCAGCAATTACCTCAAGTGTTCGGGACCACGCCACGAACACTTATAAATATGCCAAACTCACAATTTTTAGAAATAATTTGTCCATGTAGCTACGCAGTTAATATTACTTTCATATTTACAAACTCATCAGCATATCAACAAGTTAGTAACAGGGGCCATATGCTTTATAATTTATTTAGGCAATCATTTCGCGTTTCACAAACTTCTGTAGTAGTAATCGACCCAGTCAGGCGGGTGAACTACTTCACTACATTATAGGTAGCTAATAAGATCACTCCCATTAGTCATCAGCTCCACCGTATTAATGAGGTAGAAGATGTAAACACACCGTATAGAGGAAGCTTGGCCTTATCTTTCACTGGGCTTCTAAATAATTCACATTTACACAAATATTTCAACCATCAAAATATTTGATTTATTCTCAAACAGAAGCATTGTCTTAGGCTCACCGTATATAAGCATCTTGATAATGGAAGCTTCATCAGCCTTGTCGTACTCCATCATGCCCATGTATTCGCGCTCCTTCTTGCGTATGGCAGGTTGGTAGGAGCTGTTGCTGCTGCTCGTGTCCGCTCCCTCGGACGGAGCTTCGAGCTGCTCCACGCTACTCTCCACCCCTGCAATGAGCAACAAAACAGTAATAATATCCTCATTTTTGTGGATATTATTGAAACAAGCTTACACTGAATCTGTAAGCACAGTGAAAAGTAACAAGAGTGAGAGTAATTTTTGCGTTGAAAGCGAACCTACGGCACAAAATCTGGAATATTTTGCAACGGGAATAGAAATAAGCGAGTCAGACGTAAAAAAGAACAGAACGAATACGAACCATCTCTCGGAATCATAATGAGAGGTGAAATTACACAAGATAAAATAGGACAAATAATTATTAGAACACGTAAGAGAAGCGCTGGCGAAAGCGAACGCGGAAGCAAAAATATTATCTTAGGAAAGAAAATTTGCATGCTATTGCATTATCAGTATCAAATCGAACGAACAAGAAAATTAGAATATTGAATCTGATCAAAGCTACAATGCATTCATTACTGCGCCTAGAAATTCCACCAAAAATTCAGAAGCTTACAAACACTCTCTATAAACATAAACATATAAAAATTAATCGAGACAGAGCTTGGAGGTTAAGAATGCAAAGAGGTAAAGGAAAATAAACCCTGCTCCAGCAAAATCTAAAATCCAAACGAGCATTGCACCCACACAGTTGCATCGCACCGCAATCTACAAAAAGCAACAATCAGAAACAAAATTGTTTCTGAGAAATTGTATTTATATGTTGTATACATCAGTCAGGCCGGTAGAGTACATCACAGAAGCGAAGTCGTTACAAAACGTTTCCAAGCTCGGACAAAGATCATAAAATAAACCACACACGAATCGCAAAAAATTCAGACCTTTCGGTTTAGCTAGCGTTTCGTCCTTGATTTGGTCACATGACTGTGCCTTGGGCAACGAGGGAACATCTACATTCTCGGGGAAAGAAGCCGAGATGTCTTGAGTTTGTTGCTGAAGATGCAAATTCCCTAGTCGGGCGGCTGTCAGCTCTTCTACTTCAAAATCAAATGGTAGAGGTTCAGCCGGGACATATTTTTGCCCCTTCAACGTAAAGTGATCGATTGTTTCATCCAATGAAGATGACTCCACACTATCTTTCTGATTACAATGTAAGACGCTCTTTTCCACATCAGGATTACTCTCAGTTTTTTCATCTTTGCTCTCTTCTTCGAGAGTATCAACGGTAATTTTTTTCTTTATCGGGACAGGTGCCTTTAGGTTATCAAAAGATACAAGTGGTGGAGGTTCATCACATAAGCACTCACCAAAATAACCAATACAAATAATACTGCCGTACACCACTTCAGCTGACAGGCCGTACAATATAGACGTGGACACTCTGAGCTCATAAGCAAGATGATACTGCAGCTCGCACAATTTAGAATCATCATTGTCAGTGTGAAGGCGATTTTTTCTATATACAATTTTTTGCTGATCAATGCAATGCGGCTCCAAACCGACGATAGTTTCACCAGAAGAATCAGATGAAATTGAATTTGTATCAGTACCTTCGTCCAGCAAAGACGAGGGAATGGCATAGAAGCTTCCAGCCAAATTGTCAGGAGTCAAAATCTCTGAGCCGTCACTCGAGTCAAGACTCTGCGCACGCATCCTGCGGTTGTTGTCCTCGTGGTTGAGGTCACGCCACAGTTTGTCGATGCACGGATGTACCCCGGACTTTTGCCGGAGCAGCTTCATGCTACTGACTCCCTGACTATATACAACAGGAAGATATGTGTTGAAATGACTATAGTTAGAGCGCGTATATTTCTTGAGGTAAAGATTACGAGCAAATTGCCCAAGAGGGGGAGAGAGAATGGGCCAGTGTGGAGGCGCAGCAGGGTAGTGGTGGGGAGATAGGGGGGTCAGATGTTGTTGGAACGCGTGAGCTGGTAAGGTTGTCTGGGGCAGAACACTTATAATAAATATAGGGCTTTTCTTCAGCACGGAAGATGATGCGAAAGGGCTCGGAGAAGGTGTAGGAGTCAGCGGACTTTCTTCAGCGTCTTCGATGGGTGGAGGTGTCAGAGTAGTAGTTACTGTATATGTGTCTACATCCGAAGTAAGATCAGGGTTGATGGAATGTGATCTCTGACGAGTGTTTGACGAAGCTCGAGAACGACTTACAGCTTCCAAACTGTTTCGTCTATAATTTTCCGTCTCGGAGGCACGTAAAATTTCTTGGACTGAATAAAATCCAAGTGGGAGCATATCCATTTTGGGCAAAATTTAGATATAGCTACCTATCGAACAAAACTTTTACCAATTCTGTGAGAAAAACGCATACACAATAACTTAGGCAGGACCTCTTCCTCGTGAAGCAAAACCATAGAGAAGGATAATTTATTTTCTGCAAAATAGAACGTTAACGATGGTTGTTCAGTTAATACCAAATAAATAACTGACAAACACTGGTCCCTGAATTATGCCTTCAGCACGCAATGGATGAATATTCATGGCGTTAAAATTATTGTGATAAACGACGCACGTGGATCATTTCTACATCTCAAGAACCCTCGTCACAGCGATGCATCATTACGGAAAGCAAATAAAAACGACGAGTGGTGCTTGTAATTTTCTCTAGATTCCCTCAAACGTGAAATCAATAAGTGCACATCAATGGCTTAATGCAGAAAAAGTAAATAGAGAATAAAAAGAGGTTTATTTCATCACACAAAAAAAGATGTTGAGACCAAGGGCCATTCAGATGGTTTTATGTGTGAAAGAAAGTAGATATATGCATATGAGCACATTTATTCTACATATCAAGCTTAGAAGACTTCGTATGAGCGTGAGGTCTTTCATTCTTTGCAGGAAACAAGGCCGTGGATGAGACCGCTCAAGAAGGGCACGGAGGTCGCACGCAACACGAGCTCGCTAAACAAGCGACTTCCGGCGCCGCGAACAGCAAGCAGCACTGAGACAGGATTGACGCGCCACCGCAACATCACACCTGAACCCGAGCCACAGGGCTTCTGAAGTATTGATTCAAACGATATACCTTTTTGCGTTACATTTGGGCTAACAATTAAAAAAAAAATTCAAATTTTTTCATTTATGAACAATATAGTTTCATACAATTTTATGAAATGCACATGGAAGCAAAGTTTTGTTATTGTTATAAGTCCCTTTAGATAATCACGTGTGGTTTTTCCAATTTCGGACAGGAATATCACAATTTGAAATGAGATTGAGAACTATCACTGATGATCATTCACGTTAAAATTGAGGCGAGAAATTTTGGTCATGCTCTGGTGAAATCTTAAGTCAAATAATAAGTAAATTGCGCTGGCCGGCAAACAATGCAAGCTTCGCACGGTGAAAGGGTCTTATTTACAAACGTACAAAATCACGAGTTGATAAATAGTTGCTTTACATACACAACTGTCACCATCCATCGCATAGCTCCAGAGTTATGTATTATCAAAATAACAAATGGAACTAAAACTAAACGATCCTTCAAAACAAGAATCACAATTTTCCATCTCGAAAATGAATAAATAAAGAGAGCAAGATAAGACAAAATCAGCATGAGTCGTAGATTTCTTATGCCCATTAAGCTTACACTGCCTTCACATATTACGAAAACTATCGTCAATTCCTCACAACACTGACCACACGAGACCATTCATTGCTCCTTCAATAGGATTCGCTGTTCGAACAGTGAGACCATTAATCGCTATCAATATAACTAATACTGGTCTTGTCTTCAATTAAACTTTTTCAAACGAACCAATTCTGCCATCCTATACCAAAAGGGAGATAAACCTGCACAATTCGCAAAAGTGAGAGACCTGCACAATTCGCAAATGCGAGAAACCTGCACAATTCTAAAGAATGAGAAGCGTGTACAGTTCGCAATCATTCATTACCTGCATGAGTGTCACCAGGGCGAGCACCTGCAGCAGCATGGCAGCAATGTTGAGCAGCAGCGCGAGCCACGGCCGCGCACAAAATAAACGAGCACACAGCGCATTTTTTACGCAGGGTGTTGCCTTCAGCGGCAATGCTGTACTCATCATACAGGGAGCATGAGGCTCCCTGCGCAGCACTCACAGCTGCGAACACAAACGAGCGACACGGAGAACAATCGCGTTTTCCTCCGTGATTGCGGTTTATTGAGAAGTCACTGTCGCGTGGTTGTCTGATTGAACTAATTTCTGTGAACACGGAACGGTTTCCGGTTTCTTTGCTTTTAAACCCATCAAATAGATACTTAAAGCGACCAGTAAATCCAGCAGCATTATTATTCTTGTGTTCCTTCATTTGGATTTCACTATCTTTAAGGATCTCAGTATTTATAGCGGCATTGCAATCCTGTGAGTCACATGAATCCTTCCTGACGTTGCTGTTGCTGAGGTCCGGTGTTCCCAATGAAGATTCATCAGAGGATGCATTGTTTTGAAAAGAAGTAGCTAAAACGAGTCCGTGACAGCTCCGGCAGACAGGACGGTCAAGCAGAAATGTCGAAGAGTCACGTATCACGCAGGCCGGTACGTGATGTAGGCAGGGCTGAAGGCATAGTGGGGGCAAGGAACTATCGGTAGAGGCTGGCGGAGCATCGTTTCCTCTCGTTGCGGTGTTGGCGGAGGATGAGCTGGCGTGGCCGTGAGAGAAGATGTTACCCCACAACAACTTGCTCACCGACGGAGGCATACTGCGAGCTTCACTTCCTCTATGTGATCTTCCACTTGAATTCGCAAACAAATTTAACGATTCTTCCTTAACATTAAAAATATAATATGCCTTTTGATTTTATTTTTCCCCCTATCGAGTCTTGAAATCGCTTGAAATTGTATCAATTAAACTCTTGTTACTGTTCTAGCAGCAGAACAACAAAGTCTAATAGCATTAATGACGTCGTTGTTCTAGTCCACTTAATTGGTTATGGTTATGTTTGCCGACTCAGTGTAGGACGCTCTGCCTAGATTAATGGAAGCTCGATGTTTAAGATGGCGTGCAACAAATGCTCCGTTGATTGTCTCATACACGCGAATCAAGCCTATTACCGAGAAGGGATTCCATCTCCATTAAATTTTAATGGCAT